TTGTGGTTGTGTACTGATACTCTAATTGCTCTTTCTATATTGAGTACATGGCATATTTAGGCAGCTGTTACGAGACCTCAAGTGTGAGACACACGATATCTGAATCCAAGGGTAAACTACTTCTTTCGGGTTGTCATGGATTCCTCTTATCTTCTTAGTCCATCTCTTTGGACTTAGACCTTTTCAGACTTATGTTTTCTTTTATTTTGGGGTTGCATCCCCTTATTCTAGACGATTAGAGTTTTGGTACACGACTTTCAGTTTCTAAGGTGTTATTTTCACAAATGTTTTATGATAACATATTTTGTTTGTGGGAACTTAATCTTTATTTGTTTTAAACTGTTATTTTAGACGTTTGTTTAATTACAGATTGGTTGGTAATTGATTCTCTCACTAGAGGATTAGTGTGGGTTCCACTCATGGCGGGTTGGGATCGTGAAAAGAAATTTATGGTGTACTGATGGGGAACAATAGTAGGCTATTTATGGAGAGCTAAACAATATCTAGGAATTGTATGTGATTTTTACGATCCATAAATGGTGTCAACATGGTACTTCTGTTAGATTTTAATTTAGAATTTGTGGATTAATATAAAAACTTTTTGTAGGATTTTTGTATATATATCTTTTACAGATTTTGTACGAACAAGTTAGACCATTGAAAATTCTCTTTTCTAGTCATTTTTCAAGGAAAGAATTCTATTACTTTCAAGCATAAGTGACTTTGATGTAGACATTTAAACTCTGACAAATGTCATCGATTCAATCTCGTTGAAGACTTATTCATCTCAACGATTGAAAAGGCAATAAGAGACCGAGAAATTGATCAGAAACCAGAAGAGCAATACTCGCGACAATATCAGTATCACCACCCATACTCGTCCATCATGTACAAAATGAGTTCCAGAGGAACTAATATCACATTGTATACAATTTCAGAAGAACATGTATAAACTGAACCATCTCTCAAAAGCTAAAATGCAATATGAACAACATTGTTAGTTAAACATTTGCCAATTTGTTTCCTTCTCTCTATATATGTGCAATCTCCACATGATTTCCTTTGCTCAACAACTCCTTAATACTTGTCATATCAATAGAGACAATCCAAGGAATCTCTCAAATGCCATCTAATATCTTCTTTGTGATTAATGAATCAGTTTCTATAGTCAATGATACAAGACCATTATAAACATACACAATACTCCAGACCCAATTTTACTACTTTAACTTCTATAGTTGTCTTAACTCTGCATACACCAAATCACCTGCCCCATTCCTCACACAAAGTGCTAAAGCTCCTTTACCATAATTTTCTTTACTACAACAATTTGTGTTGCATTTGAAACTTCCCAAAGCTGGGTAGTTCCAAACCACCACCATACTTCAATTTAAAGGAGCATATTCTTCAAGGAACTTTTCAATAATTGGCCAGGACTCAGGAGTTAGGGATACCGCAAATAGGAATTACTGCTTATTAATGCTAAAATCATAGCATGTTCCCACCATATCTAATGATATTTCTTCTTCTCCAAATTTTCTAAATGATAAAGGCAGGAACAACCTTAAATAAAGGTCTCAACTTATTACCACACTCTACAATATCCCACCATAAGTCAATTACTTGTTTGAGTTGTATTAATGGACCTGTAATCTAGCAACATGCATCAGCAAAGAGCTTCCAAAGACTAGCAGTAGTAGAGGAATGAATAAATAGATGATCAACCACCTTATCATCACAACAACAACATTCAACCTCATTAGTGAATTTCATCCTAACTAGGACTTCTCCAATAGGGTTCCTCCTCTGCCACATAAGAAAATAAACTTTAAAATGGATCCTTCTCTCCCAAATTTGCATTAGATTCCTATGTTTCTCTTGTCTTTGTCTAATCATCTCCCAAGCACTTCCTACTAAAAAATTTCTATTTCCAGCAGGCTGCATCCACCAAGTTTTATCTGATTTCTGCCCTTTGCTCAAAGCCTGAAGAATCTGACCATTAACTTCTTCATTGAAGTACTCCTACAGCAAGTTAGTATTCCATCTACTAATTAATGTACCTCCTCCACATTCCCATGAGCATGATTGAGAGGCATGTGGAATTGCAAAGCACCTAGGCGAGTCCCATTATCAAATCAAACACTTGCATGTCCTGCTTTTGGTTCCCACCATATTGCTTGATCAAAAGAGTCCCTAGATTGTAACATTAGCTTCCAGATTTGAGAACCCCCTTTCTATTCAACCATTTGAGGTCTATGTCTCTTACAATACTGATTCAACATAAAGTGAGAAAAGGCCCAAAATAGTCCCTCATCTTTGGGTTAAAACACAAAGTCATCCTTGAGTTTTCACATGGAACACTAATAGTCCCTCATGTTTGCAATATTGGTGCACTTTTGGTCCTCCCCTAAATTTTTGCCTATTTTTTAATATTAATTTTGTCCACAATTTTATGTAAGGAATGTCCAATCGTCTTTTTATATATTTAGTAGAAATAATAACTCTATGTGAGAGAAGGTGAGAAGAAGAACATCTTGTTCTGCTCAGTGAAAATATTACTGCAGCTAAGCTAAGAACATCTTAACAAATAACGTTGTAAGAAAAGAAAAATGTGTACTATTGCACGTGAAATCGTCGTGATGAACCTTTCGACTTTACCTGCAATACGATTTCTACTAAACAAAACAAGGGGAAGAACTTTTGGAGGAGGACCAAAAGTGCACCAATATTGCAAACATAAGGGACTATTAATCCTCCATGTGAAAACTCAAGGATGACTTTGAGTCTTAACCCAAATATGAGGGACTATTTTGGGCCTTTTCTCGAGTATTGTTGGTCCTTAAAGTTCCACCACAACTTAGCAAAAAGAGCATTTGTAATATCAAATAAAGATCTGAAATCAAGGACTCCCTCTTCTTTAGGAAAATAAATAGTATCCCATGTAATCCAGTGTTTAACTTTGCCCTCTTCCTTGAAGTTCTACAAAAACTTTGCAAACATCCTATATATATGTATATCATGAATGACACAATTTGGAGGACTAATAGTTGATAGTAAGCATATGAGAATATTTTGTAGTACATTCTTAATCAGAACAACCTTTCCTCCAAATGATAGCAGCTTCCCTTTCCAGACTTGAAGCTTGTTCTTGATCTTCCTAATTAACTCTGTAAAATGTATTTTCTTTAGCATGACCAATTTGACACCCTAAATACATCAATGGAAACTTTCCTCTCAGAAACTAGTCACATTTCCCACTTCCTGAACAACAAAGTGAACAACCTTATTAAACATGTAAAAGGAACTCTTTCCTTTATTGAGGTTGTGAATCCAATATGAGTGTTGTGTTCATGTATAAGGTTTTCGAATTAATGCATGATTTTGGATTTTCGATATCTCGTTATTTTTTATTCTTAATTATTGGCTGGTGGTTGCATCAACCTAAGTCAATTGACTAGTTTACTAGGAAAAGTGAACTCAAATTTGAAAGAAATAATTTACGAAAACTTTGGACGCTAATCCTCATTTAATAGAGTCATTTATGAATAAGGAATTGACTTGACGTAAGTTTAATAGTAACTCTTGTGCATTTGAGAAAATCATTAAGAGCTATATTATTAAATTATTCGAAAACATTAAGTAATAGTTTAGAGTGCATATCTAAAACAACTAATTACAGTATTTACATGAAAATTTAGGACATTGTATTTCATAGATTGGGGCACAACTTGGTTCTTCAATCCTATTGATTTACAACTTCATAAAAAAACAATATTCAGTAAGTTAAATAAATATTTTCTTTCTACTTCCTTCCCTATCTTGAGTGTGAAGTTTTATATTAATTATATTCATCTAATTGCAAGCATTATGTCATAAATGAAATAGAAATTACGATCACCAATCAAATATTCATCTAATTTGGTAGTTTTTTCACACTTATTCTTGTGGGAGTAGACCACAACGTTAACTGTATTTGACTATACATCGTTGCATCATTTTATATGGGTAATTTTGAGCATATCACTCTATGCCGTCAATGAAAATCATTAACAGACACAAAATAACACCTACTACAATCAACTAAGTAATCAAAATATTGTGTTAGAACCAAAACAAAAATACTAACTATTACAACTCAAAAACTATATGAATAAATCATGATAGGAACAAGTTCTTTCGTTATAATAACTTCTTTTCAAGACTCATTGTGTGATACTCTTCTCTCTCTAACCTGTGTGTGATCAAACTTACAAGCATTATGTCATGTTGTTTATATAAGTGTGAACAACTGCCTTGTAGTTTTCCAATCCAAACAAATGGTTCAAGACTTTTTTAGAATTCGATCCTGATTCGACTTTTTTGTGCGTTTACTTTTTTCTACTATTTCCAAGCTATTTTATGTGCATAATGTATAATATGATTTTGAATATAGATTCTGAAATGTGCTTCTAACACTTTTCTATTTGTACTGTTATGACCAGCTGAAGCAAACCATATATACTGGTCAAAGCAATGATACCTACACTTTTCATGCAACAAATGACAGGTCCGTTTCCACATCGGTAATAACTTATTTGAAGTGTCAGGGTCGTTGATGGAGTGGTAAGTACTCCCTCATTCTTAATCAAGAGGTCTAGGGCTCGAGCCCTTGGCTACAGAGTCGCCTTTGTTAGGGAGCGTTTTAACCTCCAATGTAGAACTTCCCAGCATGAATCCAGATTTAGTCGGACTCCAATGTAGAAAACAGACACCGAGTGGGAAACCAAGAAAAAAAAAACTTCTTTGAAGTCAATCTAGTTGTAGAAAGAATTAACATTTCAATGCTACTGTCTAATTCTCATTCTATCCCTAGTAGGTTCAGGGGATACGAGAACAGTAATGGGTGAGCAACAACTAGACCATACCAGGTCTATTTTGCAAGCACATGTACATTTCAGATAACAAATCATGTATTAAACAAATATTACTGAATAGGTAAAAAGAATTTGAAAATAAAAGAGTGATACAAAACATTGTATAATTATGTGCAAGCTTCTCCTTTGTATTCATTAAAGTGTAACAATTACAAATATTAGTATATGATTCCATATAACTTTCCAAGTCTTCCTTAGCCTTACTCAGCGAGGAAAAAAGAGTTGACACATTAACTAACAAGACGAGTATGACATGTGACCAATCAACCATAGTGCTCAGAGGCATCGACATCCATGAATGAAGAGACCATCAGCAGAAGATATCTTACACAGCAGAGACAGTGTTTCAGGCTTACAGCATAACACCAGACATAACTAGATGTATATAACATCTCTAGGACATGAGGACAAAATGTGAGATCAGTGGTCCAACCAAAATTATCAACAAAACTTCATATGGCAATCAAAAAGTCCACTACAATACATGCCTACTTCAATGTGCGTTTATCAGCTTCATACATTTTCATATGACATGCATGACTGCCATCAATCAATGGCGATAATGAGAAATCCAACAGATACATACATGAGTACCACAGGATACAAGGCAAGAGCTTTCCTCCTAAGGTTAACAGCTGTACTCATGAAGGGGTATGCTGCCCAAGAACTCCAAGCTAGTGCAACACAAACCACAACCACCTTCAATATCACATTGTCCTTTAGCATGCAAATAAAGGCGCCAACATCAAGTGGGAATAGACAGTAACCCAGAAGACTGAGGCTTTGAAAGAAGATTATGTGACCGCCCTGCAGGTCAAACTCATTAATTTCATCTGAAGTAAGAGAAACATCATTTACATTAATTCTGCGGCTCTCAACTACTTTAGTGCTGTGAAAAGGAATCTGCATATACACTCATTAGTGTCGGTATAATGGTATTCCTTTAGTGACAGGAGCCTATAGAATGCATTCCTGGGTATATATGCACCAGTGAGCTTCCCTTTCCCTATATGTTCAATATCTGACATCTCTTGGCATCTTTATATATGTCTAGTAATTGCCTAAAGATGTTTAAGCATATACCCATATTAGGGTGTTTTCTTCTTATGCTATTCATGTTTTGACCTTATTTTGTATAGGCATGGGTTGAGAAAGTTTCATTACCAGTAACAAGACATTCAATGTCAGGATGACAGCACCGGCAGCCAGCAGAGCAAATGCAACAGCAAAAACTTCGGACTGGAAGAAAATTTAAAGAAAAATAAATCCGGTAGTCAGTAATCCATCACTAAATCACTCAAACCACAGGCAATTAAATATCAATTAATCAATCACATAAGCCTCAGTCGCAACTAGTTCAGTTTGGTTATATAAACAGTCCAAGCTATTTTGGTTAGGCTATATCTAACCACAGGCAACTAAAAGAAGTATAATATAAAAGAGTAAAATAAAGGGTGCCTGTGGACTTCGTTACAGTAACAAGACAGCATGCCATATTTGAGCAAGATCCATCCCGACCTAAGTTTCAACAGTCCAAAAACTGATCTAGATCTATTCATTCCATCAAATTGTCTGAAAATAACTTAACTGTCTAGACAAACAACATTTCCACTTGACATTTGATAAACTCTTGATGGTTTGTTAATGGGTCCACAGAAACATTGTTGATTGCTCTCAAACTAGAAAGGTAACTCCTCACACCATGTTGAATAAGAGATAACTAGTAACAGCATAAAAGCAAAAAGTTTAAAACAATAAAGAAATGCAAAAGGTTCATTTAGACATGAATAAGAACTGCCCACAGTGAGATGCATTAAAACTAAGTGATCCTCTTTTTTGGGATAAGGTTTGCACCAAGTAGCACCAAGTAGGTGCATTGGGGTGTGCAATACAAAAGGCAGAACTGAGTGATCTTGAGTTTAGGACTCACAGATCACATTTATACCAATACCCAGTTTAAAGTGAAGGATTCTCTTTGGCCGACAGGGCTTCTATTCAGAAGAATCTTTCCAGTTAATGAAACAGAAGAGTTTGAAGTTCTTTAACATGCTTCTTCATTCACGTTTTTCCCCAAGTATAGCAAAATATGCACTGATGTCTTCCTGGTTGATTAGGTAAGTCTCACTGTAAGTCTTAGTTTCGCCAACCATTTTTGGGAAGTCTATAAAGTAGCTATGACACTCATCTTCCATCATACATACAAGCTTGAATAGTTTTACATAGAAGAGGACTATTGAGTATTGACACTAGAATTAGACGTTTATTATTTGCACCTTTGTTAGAGTTCTGTTTATACTTCATTCCCTCCCATTGCATCTTCTCTTCTTTTACCACTTCTGCTTCTCCTTCTTAAGACCAGTAAATTCTTAACTATTATATATCTGGTTTTCTCTTCTTTTATTATTCAAGCAAACTATACAAAGTCAGATCAGTACTTGTAACTTCCTCTTTGTGATCATCGGCTATCTACTCCAAGTTAATTAATCTCCCACCATGAGATAAGATGGTGAAGCTGCATTAGAGTGGTAGAAGGGCTTGTGACAACATCAATATACACTTTGAGCACGAGGCACTTAAACCTCGACCTCAACAGCTTCAAATGAAGAGGTAAAGCAAAAAATGCAGGTAGGGCCTTCACGGGATGGGCAAGAAATTGCTAGAATTTTTTTTGATAAAGAAAATTGCTAAAATATTTTAAGCTAAGTAAAGCAAGAAAAACAAGAAAATATCTCGTAAGCACAAAGCAAGGATAAATGATCTTGTCCTCATCCTCGTTAAATAACCCGTACACACTAAATAGGATTAATAGTTGCAATGGAGAAGCCAAAATGCACTTAAATCCCTCTCTTTCCGTTTCCTCCAGCTGAAGACATTACCTTATACAGTAACCACTAGTCATCCTAACAAAGCACAGATTGGAATCTTCACCAGCTTAATAGTCTGGAAGTCTCTCACAGTCAACATATATATCTCAAGAGTCAAGATACTGGAGATACTGAAGATACTGAATGGGCTACTATAGTTGTTCTCCGCAATCTTGCCCTTGTTGACGCATAAAGGATATCAAAGGTAACTAGTTCTTTACCAAGGAAAGTAACTATGCACTTGTCAACCATCCAATAATCGGAATCAGGTAAAATGGTGATGCTCAGACCTTTGAAACAACAAATTGAGGTATACACAATCCCTCCATTGAAATGTATGTGGCATAGTTTGACTGGGCATGAGTTTAAGAAAGAAAGGAAGATCTGTGAACTTACAAGTTATCATCTGGCCTACAGTCTACACTAGTTCTTCTACCCACTCCCTTTTATCCCACATTATCAAAATCCCTCCTCTACTACTCCTGGCATCCAAATGTACTTCTCCGATCTATTAGCCCACAACTCCCTCATCAAATTGCTTACCCCTCCTATATTTGTTTCTAAAAGAACATAAATGTTTGCCCCCCACCGGTGAATTAATTGTTTAACCAGTCTCCTCTTGTTTGCCCCATTCAAACCCCTCACGTCCCATGACACAGTTTTAATCTTCATTGATCTCTAATTGGTGGTCTTCTCCTCTTTCACAGCTCACTCCTAGGTTCCCCATCCTTATAGTTGACCTCAAAGAATTAAATTACTAACCTCTTTTGGGATCAAAAGGTTGTTTTTGACTCTGACATTTCTCTTCTTTGATCTAGCCTCTCAAAGAGGAGCTCTGCATCTTTTTCTAAGCCATTAAAAATGGCTCCAAATTCCTTGCTTAATTTAATTGTATTTTGCTGCACCCAGGATGTTGCATCAGATTCCACCTCATTATTACACTCACTTGGGTCATATTGGATAGGTGTAGGCTCTTCAATCAGAATCAGCTGCATTTGTGTCCCTTCCCTTGTTTTTCACATTATCCCATCTGCATCAATCAACTCAGTTTCCGAGATCACAGCTATAGGAATTATGATCACATCTGCTTCATGGTTCGTGTCGATCCTCTACATGTGATCCTCGACCCTTTCTCTTACGAACATCCCCCTTGCTTCATCTTCATAGTTAAAACCTGTCGCAGTTCGCAGTTCGCAGCTCCTCTACAATGTCCACATGAGCATTTATGCTTTCAGTGAAAGGCTAAGCTGTAGGATTTTTCATTAAGCCTTTCTGTCCTTTCTCATTAAAATGAGAGGAAGGACCACTTTCATTTAAACGAAGAGAAGGCCCAACATACGAAGTGGAGAAAAATTGGTCCACTAGCCCCACTCCTTTTGAATTGTTGCATCCAGCCACGTGCCCATCATCTTTGTCCATGGTGTAAAATCCTCAATCCTATCCATTATCCAACAGATCTTTCCTAGCTATCCCTTTCCCCTTCCTTGGAGTTTTCCCTTTCTCCACAATTGACTGACACAAGCTGTTAGCTCCTCTTCGGTGAAAAGTTTTGTCCCCTCTTGGTTATCCAACAACCCAACTTTTTTCAAATTTTGTCGGCGCTTCTACCCATACTGGTAAAGTGAATCTCCATTCCCCATCCCCGAGTTCAACCGACGTCGGAAGATTTTTCAGCGACCCATTACTTTAATTCAAGCCCATCTCAAGTGATTCTTGAGCTCCATCTCCGACCATCCGCCATATTTTTCCCCAATCTCCTTTATAACCCCTGTTGGACCATAGTTGAAGTGGCAGACCTAGAACCCTAATCCAATACCAATAGAAATTGGTACTAATTGAGTATGCTCTAGCTATTGATGACCACCAATCCAGCTTGAGACTGCTTCCCTGGTTTTCTCCAAGATTCTTTCATGACATGCTCTGCGTCCTTCACACTTTGAAATTCAAATAGGAATGGAATCTCGTTCATGTCAAACACTTGGAGGTTATGTATTCCATGCCAAGCCTAATGTGCACATTTTCTGACATCATTTTGTGAAGGGATTTCATCGCACTCAGCGAAACTGACCACTACGCATCTTCTTAGAGGGAATTCTTAACCTGAGACAGCTTTGTTCCCCCCATGGAAGCCCTTCATTATCTCCCCATTATCACCATCATGGATCCATGTAGATTTATTTAATGCTTCTTTAAAGCTTCTTTCATCACTTAATAATCTGACATCTCACATCCCTTGTCCTTTTGGTATTTAAGGCCCCCTGTCTGAATTTATCTCTATTAGTGAAGCAGGCAAACTTTGAAACCAAAGTCAACTAGCCCTCATTAAAGTTGTTCTCTGGCACAATAGTAACTGACCTAGAATCCCCTTTGACAGCAATGACAAAAATAAAGCAACCAGGTTTATTGAACTTCAGGCATAGAAAAGGCTGGTAGCCTTATCTCTGCATCTCTCACTCATATACCTTAAACTCAATAATGTCAAACGACTTCCCCACAAATCTGAAATAAATAAAATTATCCATGACCAATAAAAGACTTAAAAGAAGGAAAAGGAGACTTAGAATGATCTCGGCGATCGAATACCACCGGAGAAGGTATCCAGAAGTCCGAAAAGGACCTTAGGTAACTACCTCATTAACTGAGCGTGAGAGCATATTAGTACCTATTATTATTATTTTTCTAAACAGGAATCTAGGTGTTTTGAAGATACTAGTAGTTCCTTACAAACACGTAAGATGAATTGTATTCTTAACTTTTGTTATTGGTGTAAATTAGGGTATATAGATGATTTTGTTTCTGTTATAGACATCATAAGGTCCCTAATAAGATGATAAATAGCTTAGCTTTGTCTCTTGTTTATACTTTTGGTTTGGATCTACTGATGTACATTCATTTTGGTTGCAAACATTTTTGTGTTTATGATTTATTTATAGTTTGTTACCTTGTCATAAAAAATAAAGGCAATAGCCAAAGAGAATATAAACTCTAGGCATGTTGGACTTCCATGCACAAACTAAATAGAACTATTTGCACCCATTCAACTGTGTTGTTTTTATAGTCAGTTTAAACCAAGCCAACTATACCCTAGCAAGTCTATAGGACATGTCCACAAGAAGACATCAACTTATAAGGGGAAGGAGTAGGACCACCAACATGATTACAATGTGAACTGTAATAAAAATAGACAGCTAGATAGCAAAAAGATGAAAACTTAGGCAATTCCAAGAGTTCTCTTTTGGGCTGGATCTAGATGAGGAGCCGAAAAAGAAATCAAATAGTTGAGATTTATGGTGAAATGGAGAGACAATTTAGAAGTAAGCACATTAAAGAAGTGGAGATGGAAGAAAAGAGAACTGGACCAGAAAGGACATGCAAGAAACTACAAATAAAGTTGTTGATTTTTTTGTAAAATAAACAACTACCCCTCAAATCCCAGACTAGTTGGGCTGGCTGAACGAATCCGCTTTTGTCAATCCCGATTCATTCATGCTCATTACATTCCAATACTATACAACAAGAAAGAGAAGAAAAATACAGCTCATGGTTGCCAGTAGATAAAAGAAAGTCCTCGCTTTCTCTTGAACAAGGGACGGGCAGCATAGCCAATGTCATATCATGGTATCAAAGCAAAACTCATTGATCCATGTTGGTGTGCTTCTCAATGTTGGAGCCCTGTGTTATGTTTTACACGCTCCAGTTGTCCAGTCCTCATCATACGGGGGAATGTTAACTATTAAGTCCTATATTGAGGGAATAGGTTGTGCTCTCCTTCTATGGTCATAGGCAATCATCCCTCATAAGCTAGCTTATGGGTTGGATTAGGCTAAAGATCCATTTCTTCACATGTTATTAGATCTAGACTCATCCTCATTCTTGGTTACCCAATACTGGGCCATCATGTTATGTTTTCCATGCCATAGATGTCCAATCTTAGGCTGGCGAGACAGTGTTACCAGTGACCTATTGATAAAGAGAATGGGTTTGTTATCTCTTGTATGGGACAATCCTTCCCTCATGAGCTAAAGTGGGGTTGTTTAGGTCCAAAGTCCAGCGTCCTTTTATTCAGCTATAACTTGATCTAATTTGAGTGCCCCTTGTGCCAGAGTTAATTAGGATTACATATATTATACATCAAAACTATAAAACATGCACAATCACAAAAATAAATGCTTCTAAAACATTTACAGAATTCAGTACCTTCTAGCATAAGACACAAGTAAATTAGACTCAACCGATAGTTTGAACAGTAAAGTGGTAATGCTTATCACCATAAAGGCTGATAAAATTTGACAATGTACCTTCTTAACAGAAGCAGACCATGACAAAGTGAGACCAAGGAAAACAATGAAGAAGAAAGGTCCCCATAGATCCCAATCACGAAGCGCTTTGCCAGGATCTTCTCTATAAGGATTAGGGAAAACCACCAGCTTCAAATTACTAACAATTCTGGACAGATCTCTTTTGACGGTATCCCAAACGGGTTCGGTAAGGGTATTGGGCGGCGATCCGAATCCGGTAGCAGCTATATTCGACTGTCCCGATGAAGGTAGGGGTGGTGGAGATGGAATGGAAGGGACAGGTGTCGGTTTGTAATTGGTGGTTGTGGTAGATGTAGGAGGAGGTGGAGGGCGAAGATTGGAAGGCATGAAGGGAGAAGATGAAACAGGTATGGCAGCACGAGGAGGAGAAGGAGGGCGTGCTGGAAGGACAGTAGAAGGATTGGAATAGATGAGGTTTTCAATTTCATCAATATCGGATTGGGATGAGGAGTGAAGAGGTATAGTGTCTCCGTGTGACATTTTTTCCGGTAGCTCTCAGATTTGCAGAGATGATCGGAGATGGGGGACAAGGCGGGTTGCCCTGTTGAGGTGTAAATGCAGGGAAATGCCCAGTCGTATTGTTAGAAAATTTTGCACTAGTTGAGAAAAAGTAAGTAGGCCTTTGGGCATGTCATACCATATCTCGTGAGATGTAGTCGGGTTTGGACATGCAATTTCATTGCTGATTTCATCTCATGATTATGTCATGATATGAAATTTCATATTCTCTACCTGTTTGGATATGTGATATGGTATCATGATATAATATTATAATATGAAATTGTGAGATGAAATTAAAGTTTTGTTTGGACATGTGATATGACATTTTTATGTTGTATTTTTTCTCATAAATATAAGAATCTTATAAGTTGTAAAACTATTAAAATAACCCCAATTATTTATTCAATCTTACCAAATAAACAAAAAATTATAAAATCGCATAATAATTTATTATAAAGCAATTTGTTCTCCACTTAAGTAATTGTTTCATCTAACTTTAATTCAATAAAAAATTTGAAGATAAATTGTAGTGTACTAGTCTTTAGTATAATCCTCTCGCATAGTACGGACAATTTTCTCACGTTGAACTTGCATTTCTTGATCATGTGACCGAGAGGACGAACCAACATTGTTACTTTGAGCCATTCATTGGTTAATATCATCCGCAACTATATTTCATGCTCATAGACCATAAATATTTCATCAGTCCTTTGGTATTCTCGCAAATAATTATGTAACACTGCACAAACTATGACAATTTTCACTTGTGGATCAACATCATAATAGTTCATGCCTTGTTTCAGTATTCTAAATCTATTTTTCCAAGCTTCAAAAGTCCGTTCAATCACAATGTGCAGAGATGAATGCCTGTAATTAAACAGTTCTTTAGCATCTTGAGGCTTTCTTTCACTCTCTCTGGAATCCTGCAAATGATAGTGTAGTCCTTTGTATGGAGCTAAAAATCCTTTGTATGGAGCTAAAAATCGATTGGTTTGAGTAAAGTGATTGTATGTTGGGGAGCATAATAAATTTTATGTCGGTGAAAATAATAAATTTTAAAAAGTAATGATCTAATTAAAAATTTTATTTACATTTGAAATAAATGGTTAATAGATATAAACGTGAGGTTTTTTTTAAAACAAAATATAAACTTGTAGATCAATTTTTGTATTAAAATATCTCAAATCATGATATGAAATTTGCATATCATGGTTTTTGGAGAATATGGAATCACATCTTTTGATATGGAATCAGCGTAAAATCGCATGTCCAAACGCTGATTTCATCTCACAATTTCATATCGTGATATAGTATTGCATGGTCAAACGCCTACTAAAAGTCATGATATGTGAATTCCCATATCGATTTGATAATATTTTAAATAAAAAATTGATCTACAATTTTATATTTTGTTAAAACAACCCCACAGACTTTTGAAATTTGGAAAAATAGATTCAGAATACTAAAACAAGGCATGAACCATTATGATATTGACACACAAGTGAAAATTGTCATAACTTGTGTAGTGTTACATAATTATTTGTGAGAATACCAAAGGAGTGATGAAATATTTATGGTCTATGAGCATGAAAATATAGTTGCGGATGATATTGACCAACAATTGACTCAAAGTAACAATGTTGGTTCGTCTTCTCGGCCACATGATCGAGAAATGCAAGCTCAACGTGAGGAGATTGTCCGTATTATGTGGGAGGATTATATTAAAGACTAGTTCACTACAATTTATCTTCAATTTTTTTTATTGAATTAAAGTTTGATGAAATAGTTACTTAAGTGGGGGAACAAATAACTTTGTAATAATTTATTATGCGATTTTATAAATTTTTGTTTATTTGGTAAGATTGAATAAACAATTGGGGCTATTTTTATAGTTTTTACAACTTATGAGATTTTTATGTTTATGAGAAAATATAAAACACAAAATTTCATAACGCATATCCAACAAAACTTCAATTTCATCTCATGATTTCATATTATGATATCATACATGATTCCATATCGCATGGTCAAACGAGCCCTGGGATAGACGCCGTATTTCATGTTATATCTCACATGGTATATGTCATTCAAAGGTAAAAAACTTCCCACAATAATGAACTAACGTTACTTTCTAAAGTATCTCACAAGTGTTTTATAAGATGTTTACCTTTTCTAACATCTCGCAATTTGAAATAGCTAGGAAGAAGCTAAGAATTGGAAATAGTCATTTTTGGAAATAGTGACCAATCTGGCAATTTGTTTAAGTAAGTTAAAGTGAGTTTTTTGTCAACTTCTAACGATCATAACTCTTAGATCAGGATGAGTTAGGTGTAGTTCCATATATGGTTGGAAAACTCTTGGAATGATCTTTCTAACGCCGCCAAGTTTGCGCGATTTCGATTTCATATGAATGAGTTATGCCCTTTGAAAGTTGTGCTGTTGGATTAAGGAAATGTCCAATCCGAATTTTTGAAGGGTAGTTTGGTCTTTTCCTTACCCGATTAATTAAATCCATTTTTAGTAAATTAAGTGGGGTCAAAACTGAGTTAGTTCAGTTTACGCTTTTGAGAAATAGAGTTAGGGCTTTTCGAGAAAGAACACAAAAGAAAAGAGAAGAGGAAAAGCAAGATTCGCCAAGAACGATCGATTTTGGTTGTGGATTCGCCAAAGAATTGATCCTACAAGGTATGTGAGTCTTTCATAGTGTTGGGTTCATTCACCCACGCTCCAAACATGTTTGGTTCAGCAGATTCGTTCTTAAAGAGTTTGAAAGTTGATGTTCTTGACATAAATTCTTGAATTTGAATGTTGTTCTTGAATTGGGTTGAATTGAGGAATTTCTGAGATCGTTACGTTGAGTTTTAGAGTTGTTTGAGTTAGGTTCTTGAGTACTTATGCTGGGTATCGGGATCTAAGGTGAATTTGAGATCAATAGTCGAGCTTAGGCGAATTGGGGATGGAAAACGAAAAAGGAAAAAGTCGAGGGAGTTTTGGCACGCAAGTATGCGTCGGACTTGCTCCCTCTGTCTACAAAAAATTTCTCCGCGTCGCGGTTAAGACGCGGACTCCTTTGTCTCAAAATTTAATTTCACGAGTAATTATTTAAAACACCTCCGCGTCGTGGATTTGTTCCAAGACGGTGATTTCGTGACTTTTCTCATGTTTAGCTATTTAAGATCATTCCTAAACATCATGTTATCCTTCCTATCACAAATCAAAATCTTTGAATCCATAATTCAATTCGAGGACCAGTTAAGAGTCAAGTCAAGAGCAGTTAGGATCAAAGTCAAGAGAAGTTAAGAGTCAAGTCTAGAAGTTAAGAAGGAAGTCAAACAAAGTTTTTTTTTAAGTTTTCAAAAGTCTTTAACAAACGTTTTAACTTTGTTTTAAGACTTAAGTTTCAAGTTAAGCAAAAAGTAAAGAGTTGAGTTCATTTCTCAAAAAGCTATTAGGGAACTAAGTATTCCCAAAGAGTTTATAAATGTTTTCACATTTGAGCAAGAAGAGGGAATATCGGTTCCAAGAGAGCTTTCAAGATAAGTTCTGAGTAATTATCTCAAACCAAAGAAAGAAGTTGTTTTAAAACATATGAGCTAAGTATATTTTTGGTAGTAGTATTGAGCATCGATATGGGGATGCGAGTTCATATTTACTCAAGTCTCCATAAATCATGTAGCCATCATGGGTTTTTATGGGTCATACTTTTTAGATGATCACATAAGTTAAGCTAGTGGATCCCCTAAGTTAAGCGTTCTATATGACGGCAAAGTATAGGACAGTTCTGGCAGCATGGGCAAGACGTTGTATTACCACTTATGCTCATAGTGGTGGTTGTCGGTTAGAAAATCTCCCACAGAAAACCATATTATTTTCTTATATGAGTAAAGTTGAGTTTGTTATTGCTTATCTTTAACGAACTAAGTTGGCTGCAAGTGTTTTATAAGCTTTATATATATTGCATGTGTTTCATTTCTATATATTTGAGTTAAGTTATTTAGAAGTTGAGAAGAGTCAGGTAAGTGTTTCCTTTGAAAATCCTTTCAAGCCTATATCTTGTTTTAGCATTCCAACTCACATACTCATACTTTCAATGTACTGATGTCAGTTGGCCTGCATCGTTTTATGATTCAGACGCAGGTAACAAGGATCAGCATCCAGCGCCTCGTTGATCCAGGTTGAGCACTCAGAGTCTGTTGGTGAGCCTTCTTGTATTCCGGAGGACTCCTTTATTTGCTTTCTAGTCTTTCAGATGTTAGGATGATCGGGGGTCCTGTCCCGACATCCCTCTTTATTTTAGAAGGCTTCATAGACAGTTAGTAGTCAGATGTCTTTACATTATTATTTCATATGTTGAGACTTGAGTTGCCATTTTGGCTAAGTTGAATGTTGACTATTAAACATTCTGAGTTATTTCACTAAAATTATTTGAGTAAGTTCACTTTGATCATAGTAAGCATGTTTTAGAGTCTTCTGTTGAGTCAGTAAGCCAGTCCAGGGGTTCGATTGAGGCCATCAATGGTCTTTGAGTGCCGGTCCCGCCCAGGGTGTAGGCTCGGGGCGTGACAAACTTGGTCTTAGAGCCCAGAGTTCAAGAGTCTTAGGGAGTCTATGAAGCCGTGTCTGTAGAGTCCTAGTTATCGGTGTGAAGCTTACCACATCTATAATTAGGAGGCAGCAACATTTAGGAACTATCTCACTTCTTCACACTCATTTTGTGCGGTAGAGTTTATCTCTAAAAAGTTTCCTTCTAATTCGTGCTTGCGCGTGTTTTCAGATAATCATGCATCCATGAAGAGCTGTCATAAGTCGTCCTGCTAGACGCAATGTTGAGGAACAAGAGTTACCAAATGCACCTGAAATGCAACCTCAAGGAAAGGTTACTAATGCTAAATTCAGGGAAGCAATCAGGATGCTAAGTTAGGCTGTGACTAACTAGGTTGGGTAGCAAGGAGGAGCTAGACAGAATGAGGCTGGCACTTCAAGGATTTGTGAGTTCTTGAGGATGAATCCTCCAAGTTTCACTGGTTCAAGCACTACTGAGGATCCAGAGAACTTCATTGAGGAACTGAAAAAGGTATTCGATAT